CAAGAAAGAAAAGCTTGTAGTTAGTTCAAGGACTGTTTATTGGCCTTTAGGAGTGTTTTCCAGTCCAGTCTGTTGGGGAACCATGCCCTGGCCCCCAAGTCCACCTTCAGCATTCCCTGGGGACCTCGCTGCTCCGTTCCCTTGCTGTTCTGCTGCACCCCCTTAGTATTTTGCCTCTGTGTCTCAGGATCAGATCAGGTGCAATTCCCACACTGTGTCTCCGGTGTTGTCCCCTGTAGGGTTATGGGTCAGTGAGGGACGTCGTGTCTCATAGTGGGGCCAGCCATGTGGTCCTCTCTGTGGACTAGCTGCTCTAAACGGGAACATCATCCTCAAGGCATGGTGGGCCAGGATGCACTCCACTCTCTCCTCCTCCCCCTTCATCTGTAACTGTGTGCTCCAATCAGATATGTCCCTCTCCCGGAGCTGAAGATTCAGTGCCGTCCGTTGAAATAAATTCTTGGGGGGGGGGGGGCAGATGTCCACGTGGTAGTTGGGATTGGGGCCGGCCCCTCAGACCCCTCAGCGTGGGTACTTCTTAGTGTCCTCATTACTTGCGGTCTGGTTGTAAGCCAGGATTGCTTTCATCACTCATGTTTCCTTTTCTTTCTCCACTTCTTGCAGCCCGTGGATTTCAGCTGGAATACACTTGCTGATGGGAAGCTTGCCTTTTATGACCATTATCTAATCGAGCAAATCCAGTCGGGGAAGGAGTCAGAAGTGCACCAGTTCTTTTTTGTGCTTGCGATTTGCCACACAGTCATGGTGGAGAAACATGATGGTGAGTGCTGCCCTAGCCCCTCGGATACCAGAGACCCGACTTCAAGGTTATGGGGGGACCTACGAAGTCATACACATGACATGTCTGCCGTATCGTCCCTCCGAGGCAGTCCTTTGGGGTAAACCAGCCTGCCCTCAAGGTGATGCCCCCTCTTGGCAATCCCCTGTGTGAGAGAGTTGAGCTCTATGCCTTAGAGTCTTCATCGGCTGATTTCTGTGAGGTAGATGGTCAGGCCTTTGCTCTGAAGAGCCTCTGGGGCCATTGGAATAACCAGCCTTCCTATTATCAGCCAAGTACATGAGCCCCCTGAGCAGCGCCAGGGGCTCTGTTTTCTTATGCAGCAGGTATGAAAACCGCAGGAAAGGGAAGATGCATGAAAACTCAATGTGTAGACACCGTAGAGAACATCTGCCAGTCAGTTCCAAATAAACCCACTTTCTCCAGATGAACTCAACAGGGCAGCAAAGCAAGATAGCAGCCAAGTTCTGCCAGGTTCGGTCTATGGAAGAGGCTATTCACAGGCCAAGTGGGAGAGGACAGAAAGAGACAATGCCAGTCTGTGACTCTCCCAAGTAGAGGTCAAAGTCTGTTTGATTAGCCCAGCAACTTTTACTCATACAGTAAGGATAAAGTTCGATGTGTTTAAGCAACCTGATTCACTTAGGCTTTTGAATCATCGGAAAAATCCATCAACTGTTTTTAGTTCCTGATAACTGGTATTTTGAGAGCTAATAGTCGCTATGAGCCAGTGTCGATTCCGTGGCAAAAGGAAATTGGCTAACTAAGGCAATTTTACATTCATCTGGTGGTAATTTTTTTTTGTTCCTCCCAGTGGGAAAAGCCCTGGATTCTGGGCCATCCCAGTTTGATCCCTGCCATATGTAACTCCCAGGACAGAACACGGTTTGCCCTGTCTGAGCACCAGCTGCTTGAGTGTCGCCGGGAGGAGGTTGCTATCCAAAGGTCCTTCCAACTTCCCCTTCTGCCCCCTGGTAATCTTTCTGCAGCCACCAGGTGTTCTCCGGTGCTGTCGAGTCAGCTCCTACATGTGCCCACAGCTCCGTACAACAGAACAAAGCTCTACCTGGGCCTGCTACTTTTGAGCCCATCGTTGCAACTATAGTATCAGTCCATCTCATGGGGGGCACCTTCTTTTTCCACCGACCCTCCAAGCATGGTGCCCTCCGTCAGTAGGTCTCGCTTGATAACATGGCCAAAGTACACGAGGCAGTGTTTCGCCATCCTGGGTTCTAAGGAACATTCTGACCGGACTTCCTCCGCCACAGATTGGTGTGTCCTGCAGCCGGCAGGGAGGGAGGAGCACTGGCTCTATCGTCTTAGGGTGGAGGCTAGACTGGATTATTTCCAGGTGCAGGAAGTGAGAAGAAAAACTCATGCTGGTTTTGGCCCATAAAATACTTTGATCCTTTGGAAGGGCACCGAGACCGGTGACTGGTACTAGGTACCACCGCAGTGGTGGCTGTGCCCAGTGCTATTTCCCAATACTCCCAATGACTCTCAGACCCACGGGGAGAAGAAAGGTTCCGCATGTCTAGGAGGGGAAATAAGAAAGCTCCCTCTGCCCTAGGTTACTACTTGGTGGCCACCTGCCTGTCCTGTTGGACAATCACTAGGGTAGAAAGGAGAATGATGCCCCAGACTTGAGCCTGGTGGAGTCTCCCACATGTGGGTAGTAGAATGAACAAAAGCCGGCAGAGGAGGTAGAGTGTGGGACCACCAAGTAGACTAGATGTGGGCTGCAACCTCGAAGTCTCAGACACCCAGCTAGCCACCTGGTCAGGTCAGCTGCTTCCGATTCGAGAACCTCTCTTCTTCCCTTGGGAATAGGAATCATTGGAAAGCTAGCATGAGAACTGAGGAAGCCGTGATTGGAAAGTTCTGGTGCAGATTCCAGGACTGCAAGAGGAAAAGACGAGCTAAGAGCTAAGGGATGCTAGAATGAAGAGCCAGTCAAGGTTGTTGAACTTGTGCTGGGGTTAGGCAGCGGGTGTCCACATGTAGGTGCAGTAACTGTGACCCGAGTTTGAGATCAGAGGGAATGGGGAGCGTTTGTCTGCATTGATCTCATGACCACAGATGCACCTGTTTATGAAAAGGCGGTTTCTCGGTTGCTTCTAAATGTGGAGTGAAGGGCTTTCTTCGGAAATGGCCTCGGAGGATGGTAGTTACTGGCAGGTTTCTTTCTGCAAACATCTAGTTGGCATTTGGGCCTGCTCTCTGCAGTTTCTCTGGAGTTCTGTGATTCCGCTACTGGGGGGAAAAGGACAGACTTTTCTCTTTCTTTTAGTAGTAAGATTATCAAGATATTTGCTCCCAAAGTAGCAGTATTGCTCGTACCTTTACCAACTTTGGTCATGCTTGGCTTTTAATTTCTGCTGGAGAGAGACATTTACCACCAATAGTATGCAGTAGATCACTGTACCAGCTAAAATCGTAGGAGGCGAGGACTGTGTGCTCACAGCTATTTGTTCAGCTCTGGTTAAGTATTTTCTCCTGTTTGATTTGTGTAAGAGCCCTGGTGGCACAGTGGGGTATGTGTTGGATTGAAAACCACCAGCAGGTCTGCTGAAGAAAGACGAGCCAGACTCCCATCAAGAGTTACAGCCTTTCTAACTCCCATCAAGAGTTACAGCCTTGGAAATCCATGGGGGCAGTTTTACCCTGTCCTGTGGGGTCACTATGAGTCAGAATTGCCTTGAGAGCAGCGAATTGAGTGACATTTCGTGTATTTTGTAGGGTGATCAGACTAGCAAGTGTCACCCGTAACTACTGGTATTGGGCTTTCTGGGTGAACCGAGAGACAGGTGACGTAAAGTATCATCTTTGATTACTAACTGGGAAGTGATTCGTACTGACTTAATTGGAATGAACCACCTGAGCACGCACATGACCAAAGGAGGGGAGGGTTTAGCTGCACCTGCTGATTGATGACCTGAAAAGCCAGGTCCCACGTTTCTGTCTAAGCTGAACGTTAAGAATTCATCTGACCAAAGCAGTTGTTTCTGCTTTGCCTTGGAGTAACTAGATTAGCTGTTGTCCTCAGTTGCCTTCAAGCGGATGCCAGTGGCTGGTGGCCCCGCGTGTGCTGGCTAGAACTGCCCATAGAGCTTTTCGATGCTGTGACCTTCCAGAAACATGTGGCCAGGCCTGTCTTCTGAGATGTCTCTCAGTGAACTTGAACCCCCAAGCTTTTGGCTAGCAGTTGAGTGTTAACCACCTACACCACCCGATTAGCATAGCAAGAGCAGGAAAATAGAAAATCATTAGTATTTTTTTAACTTTTTATTGAGGTGTAGCATCTGTGCAGCTATACATACCTAGCAAAGGTCTCGATGAAGTTTCACACACCGAAGAGATCCCTTCATGAACACCCAGATGGTAAACCGCAGACCATTGCTCATCCCCTAGAAGAGCCTGGGGAATGGTGGTAGCATAGCAGGCTACACAGTGAGCTATGAAGCATGAGGTCAGTGGTTTGAACCCACCAGCCACTTCCTGGGAGTAAGATGAGGCTGTCTGCTCCTGCAAAGATTTAGAAGGCTCAGAAACCCACTGGGGCAGTTCTACTCTGTCCTGTAGGGTCACTATGAGTCAGAATCAACTCGATGGCAGGGAGTTAGGTTGGTGGGCTGGTTGGTTTTTGACAAGAACCCTTGGAGTTTCCTTATAATTCTCACCCTGCGTGTATATCATCAGTGGAGTAAAACTAACCTGTCTCCTGACTCTCGAGCTGTAGATCTTGTGGTCTGTGTAAGTGCCATCATGCCCCACAGTCTCCTTTGTGTCTGGACTTTATTTGCTCCGCATCCTGGGTGAAATTGGTTCTGATTGTTGCAAGCAGGCAGCTTCCCACTATCTGACTTTTAAATATCGACACACTGATCAGAGTAGCAGAGATGTTTTGAAATAGGATGCATGTACGGTGAGATTAAATACCCTCTTTTAGAGAGAGGAAAAATCGGGACAGCTCTTTTGGAAAACACAATTAATAATATATATCAAGCGGCTTAAGGATTATTAATATTCCCTAGTCTATTCTGATCACTAGGAATCTACTCAAAGGATGGGGGTCAAAAATAAACTCACCTTACAGACACACAGTGTTTATTATGTTTTTTATAGCAAAAAAAAAATCATGGACTAAACTTAAGTGGCCTTCATTAGGAAAATGATGGAGTCAATGATCGTTGTTGTTAAATGCTGACAAGTCAGTTTCGACTCCTAACCATCCCGGGTACAACCGAACGCAACACCGCGTGGGCCTGCACCATCCTCACAATCGTTCTTACGTCGGGGCCCACATTGCAGCCACTGTGTCGATCCACCTTGACAGAGACTTCCTGTTTCACTGCCCCCCTACTTTACCCAGCATGATGCCCTTCTCTAGGGACACGTCTCTCTTGGTATCATGTCCTAAGTACATGAGACACAGTTTCACTCTCCTTTCCTCTATCTAAGGTGCCTTCTGGCTGTACTTCTTCCAAGATAGATTTGTGTGTCTAACTGTAATATTTCTACGGGTGATTGAAAATACCAAGGCTTGAGTGAGGCACAAAGTCACATCCTCAAAGTAACATCCTTGCTCTTCAACCATGTAACGAGGTCTTGTGCAGCAGATTGACCCAATGCAGTGCACCGCTTGACTGCTGCTTCCATGAGCTTTGATGTGGATTGGAACAAGACGAAATCCTTGACAACTTCAGTCCTTGCTCGGCTTATCAAGATGTTGTCTATAGTTTATCCATATCCTGGTGGTGTAATGGGTCCCGAGTAAGGTCAGCAGTTCAAACTCACTAGGAGAGAGATGAGGTGCTCTGTTCTTGGAAACCCGGGGAAACAGTTGCCACTCTGTCCTGCAGGGCCACAGTAAACTGGAAGCAACTCAACATCAATGGGTCTGAAGGCCACAACTCCATCACGGCCATCAAGTCCATGCTGACCCATAGTGACCTGAAGGACAGAGTAGAACTGCCCCTGTGGGTCTCTGAGACGGAAACCCTTTACAGAAGTAAAAAGCCCCATCTTTCACTCATGGAGCAGCTGGTGGTTTCAAACTGCTGACCTGAAGGTTAGCAGCCCAAAGCATAACCACTATACCACCAGGGCTCCTTTAACAGCACCAACGTATTTTTTTAAAGTTATGACTGTCTACTAAAATAGAATGTTAATAAAAAGCAACCAGGATGTAAATGCATGTTCGGTCCAATAGAAACTGCTTCACCCATGGCATTCATAAAACTATAGGAAGAATTTAAGATGATTAGTGATAATGTTATTTTTCCCCCTCTGGAGGGTGGAATTATAATATATGTTTTTTCTTCCAATTTTTAGCCAGTTTTGGAAAACCGTGTCTGTCTTACTGTTTATAATTAGCAATAAAACTTCAAAGTTTGAGAAGTTTTCATTGGGCAGGGGGTGGCTCTTGAACCATCAATGACTTGTTGGCTGGTGGCTGTTTTGAGCATGGCAATACACCCCCACCCCCGAGTCATTCTCAGTGGTGCTCGGTTTTGCAGCTTTTCTGGATTCTTCCTCTCCCCGCTTTCCTTGTCAGGCCAGCTCAACTACCAGGCAGCCTCCCCCGACGAAGGCGCGCTGGTGAATGCCGCCAGGAACTTCGGCTTCGCCTTCCTCGCGAGGACCCAGAACACCATCACCATCAGTGAGATGGGGACTGAGAGGACCTACACCGTGCTGGCCATCTTAGACTTCAACAGTGACCGGAAGCGGATGTCAATCATTGGTAGGTCACCCGTGGGATCAGCTTGTGAGCCGTGCCTCCCGTGCTGTCTCCAGGCCATGGGAGGGTCAACAGCCTGATTGCAACTGATGCTTCTTCCTTCACGCCACACCCTGTCCATGACTCAAAGTGGCAGCTGCAGGATAGCTGAATCTTGTAAACCGCGCATGTTCTTCCATGAGAGCCACTAGGGGGTGCCAGCTGCAGGCCTGGGTTAGTAGAGGGGACACACACACACTCAAAGCTTTGCAGCACGACCTCAATGCCGTCTGAGGTCACGTGCAAGCCCCCTCCAGATAGTAACCTGCCAACTTGGCTGCAGGCCACCCTGATTTTAAACTAATAGGTGAACCGTTAGCTCAATGGCCCGTCAGATTATCTGGAACAGTCGCTGTTGTGTGAGACATCAACTTCAAGTGTATTCACTTTTCCTTCCAGTGAGGACCCCAGAAGGCAACATCAGGCTCTACTGTAAAGGGGCCGACACTGTGATTTATGAAAGGCTGCATCCGATGAACCCTACCAAGCAAGAGACGCAGGATGCCCTGGATGTGAGTCGTTGGGTGGAAAGCGCCCCGAGTGGGAATATGGGAGGCTGAGTTCCAGCCCTGACTTCCTGGGAAATTACTTTGGCACCATTTCTCAGAATCCAAGTCCACAGGGTCAGGAGAACTGGCGGGGTGGGGGGAATGCCTCTCTTTTGGGTACAGTGATTGAGCTACATAACCATACAGAGCTGTGGTCTTAATAACTGTGTCCCCCGACTCTGCAGCCAAGTAAAGAAAGAATTCATATGGGGCCTGGGGTGACAAAGCAGAGTGCTGAACAGTGGGGTTCAGATCCCTTTGTTTTGGGAAACCGTTTGGGCTTACTTCTGCAACTAGTGACCTTAGGAGGCTATCTACTTAGTCCAGTGCTGATACCATTACTCAGAATGTTTCCGGAACTTTCCATCTTGAATTGCTTACCAGACTTTGACTAGCTTTGGTTCCACAAGAAGCTGGTAGAGCTCAATCCGACCTGGAGTCCCGTGTCTGCCTCAGAAAGAACAGTGCACTCTGCTCTACGACTCCCAACACAAAAGAGGAAAGGATCATTGCACCAGGGAGGCTGTTGGAATGGAAAGCATCTTGCACAGTCCCAGCAGGAGCTGTTTCAGAGAGGGTAGTTTGGGCCCTATACGCCAAGAATCCAATCCACTGCGTTTCCACACTCCAAACCAAGCTGACTACCACTGAGTTGATTCCAACTCACAGTGACCTGATAGGGTCGACGTGCCCTGTGGTTTTCCCAGGCTGCTCTTTGTAGGAGTAGCCAAATGCCTAACCCACTGCACCACCAGGGTTCCTCCCTTGGGCTTAGAGCATCCCAATGGTCCTTCAAAGAGCCCAAACCCAAATTCTGCTATCGAGTCCATGCTGACTCATAGTGACATCCTGTGGGTTTCCAAGGCTGTAACTGTTTATAGGACTAGAAAGCCTGGTCTTTTTCCCACAAAGCTGCTGGTACTTCCAAACTGCCCACCGTGGGGATTGCAGCCCAATGCCTAACCACTACACCACCAGGGCTTCTTTTCTTCAAAGAGAAACTTGGTGAAACGATCGTTTAATCACACGGGGTCCCATTTCATGATTCTAGACTGGCACTAAAAGTTACAGATTGATTCGTGAGAATGCGAACAAGGGCCTGCAATACACTCTCTGAAAGAGAACAGTCCATGGGGTGAACCAGTTAGTTCTCGGGGACAAAGGGTGACCATGAACTAAGTTTGCATTTTGACTAGTTTCTGCTTATGCGCTTTTAGATCTGTTCCCCTTGAGACTGGTTGCAGAGCCCCTTGTTTGGACTTCACTGTTCTATTTCAGCTCGAGTCACGGCTCACGGGTAGGAGGTGAGGAACGTGTACCTGGTGGAAAGTTCAGGGACCGCACTACAGTTTGTAGGGACACAGTGTAAAGGGCCGGGTGTGTGTTTATAGCACTCGTAGCCCAAGGCAGCTCCCTTCATCTATTTGTTTCTTCGTCATTCTACAGAAAAGCATTTTTCCCTCCAGGGACTTGATGTAGGGGAGAGTGAGACTTTCATTTTTAAGTCATTGGGGGAATCAGAGATACCTCAGATGTTGCTAGTTCCATCCCAGACTGCTGTACGAAAGCAAATCCCGCAATAAAATGCATCCATTCATTTAAACGAATCACACAAATTTGTTATCGTGGTTGTTTTCCAGTGTATGTAAAGGCTATGCTTACACTCACGCCGTAGTCTCTGCCGTGTGCAATAGCATGATGGAAAAGTCCGAGGTGCTATGAGAATGATCAATGCGTGATACAAAGAATGGAAGGGAGCATATGCTACTGGAAAAATTGTCACCTATACACTTGCTTGCCGCAGGGCTGCCATAAATGTAAACCTTCCATCTGTAAAACACCCGAGATCTACCTGTGGCAGCGCACCCCCAGAACTCTAAGGACCCTTACAAAGCAAAGCCTATCGCACAAGGAAGTTGATTCTTCTCTACAGAATGTATTTGTATAGCGTTCGCCCTACTCTGTGGTCTCTGTAAATTCTCTGAGAGTTCAAAAGAAGACTTCAGACGTATCTCAAATGACCTAACATGAACTATTCTTTGGGTTGAGTGGATTGTCTTTTAAATCAAACAGGTCTTTGCAAGTGAGACTCTTAGGACCCTGTGCCTTTGCTACAAGGATATTGAAGAAAAAGAATTTACAGAATGGAATAAAAAGTTCACAGCCGCCAGCATAACCACAACCAACCGGGATGAAGCTCTCGACAGAGTGTACGAGGAGATTGAAAAAGACTTAATTGTGAGTTTCCGCCTTCCTAACGTCCCCTTCCTGTTCTCAGCAGAATTGGAGCTTATATGATCTGGTTATCTTTTTCTACCCCGTGCTTGGGGGAGGGGGAATAATAATAATTCTAATTTCAGTGTTTAAAATTGTCACGATGGAGCTAGGCCCTCTGAGTTTCTTCAGCGCGCAAAAGACACGTGTCTGTGTCACTGGGTGTTGTGAGTTCAGGTCGGTCTGACAACAGCGTGAGACCTTGCCTGAGCCTGCAGCATCCTCAGTCACTGGGTCATGCCCTCACTGTGGGCCCTCCTCTTCCTCACCCACTCAGTCCTCTGCCAAGCAGAATGTCCTCCAGGACACATTAGAATCTCCCTGTCCTCCCCCCTCCCTTCTGAGGAGCATTCCTGACGATGTTTCCTCCAAGACCGGTTTGTTAGTTCTTCTGACCGTCTGTGGTACAGGCAGCATTCTCCGCCAAAGTCATATTCGTATGCATCAATTCGGGTTTGGTCTTTCGTATTCCTTGTCCAGCTTTAATATGCATATGAAGCAATAGGAGGGGGAAAAACCCACAGGGTTTGGGTCAGAGGCACTTCAGTCCTCAAAGGGGCATCTTTGCCCCTCAGCACTTGAAAGAAGGTATTGGGGGGAGTAGGGAAGGAGGGGGAAATAAGGAGCTGATACCAAGGGCTCAAGTAGAAAGCAAATGTTTTGAGAATATTGAGGGCAACAAATGTACAAATGTGCTTGACACAATGGATGGATGTATAGATGTGCTAAGAATTGTACGAGCCCCCAATAAAATGATTTAAAAAAAAAAAAAGAAAGGTGTTGTGCAGCAGATCTGCCCGATGGGAGACGTTGTTTGATTCTTTGGTGGCTGCTTTCATATTACTCTAAGAATCAAAACACAGGAGAAGGGGCGATCTAATTCCATTATACTTATATTCAAGTTCAGTACAATTCTTTTACATAGCACCCAGCATACACATACATACCCACGGCATTATGGAATTGGCTATTTTTGCAAAACTTGAAACAAGAAAGATTCCTGATTTGTTTCTAAGGGGAATTTCCCAAAAGATGATGCTCTTCGCTTGAGGGGTTTAGATGAAGAGACACGATCCACAAGTAGCTAGGGTTGACCATGAGCAAGGGGAGCTGGCTTCTGCCTGTGTACAAACCGCGTACGGACAGGAACACTCGTTTTCCTTGACCTTGGTTTTATCCTTGCGTCTTTGCCTGGGCAAATGAAACAGTTTGTGTTAAAAGAGAAATGTTTCCAGCCTGTCTGGTTTGTGGTGAGGATGTTGCGACTGGTGAGGCCCTGGCTCCAGGAGAATGGCAACTAGCTGGCCAACTGCCGTGACAGGAAATTTCTGATTTATGTAATTCCTTTTCGTTCCCCCTCCAATGTTCATCTCAGCTCCTGGGAGCTACGGCGATTGAGGACAAGCTTCAGGACGGAGTTCCAGAAACCATTTCTAAGCTGGCGAAAGCAGACATTAAGATCTGGGTACTCACTGGAGACAAGAAGGGTAATTGATTGAGTGGGGCGGCTCCTCTGCTAAATCACAGACTTCCAGCTGCTGCCTTCCTGGCCCCAGCTGACCTCAGACTTCCCATCCTGCCCATTCCCTCCCTGCTGAGCACAGAGACCAAACCAAAAAGCAAACGCACTACCATAGAGTCAGTGGTGACTCACAACAACCCTATAGGACAGGGCAGCACTGCTCCTGTGGCTTCCAAGACTGTATGTAACTCTTTGTGGGAGTAGAAAACCTTGTCTCTCTTCCTTGGAGCAGCTGGCAGTTTCGATCTGCTCACCTTGCTGTTAGCAGCTCAATGTCTAACTGCTACACTACCTAATAAGCCCTCCCCAGTTAGGCCAGAAGGAGCCCTGGCGGGGGCAATCTATTATAAATTGGGCTACTAGCCACAAGGTCAGCAGTTGGAGCCCAGTTTGAATGGCAGGAGAAAGATGAGCCTCTTTGCTCCCATGCATTGACAGGGTACTACAGGCAGTCCTGTAGGGTAGCAATTGATTTTGACTCAATGACAGTGACTTGTTCGGAGTTTGACTTGGTCCAGCCATCCTGGCCGTGTCCTCCAGCCAACTTCCACAACAGCAGGCTCCACTCCGCAGCCTCTCCTGCCTGGTTCTGTCACTGCTCGTGATGCATCTTCTCTCTCCAGCCACCTGGGTCCCTAGCCCTTCTGGCCACCCCACCCCACCCAGCTCTTCGCCATCTGTTGGCCATAGAATGGAGCAGCACTAAGTACTGAACGACTTCTGAATTTGGTCGCCCCCACCCCCACTTTATTGTTTGACATTTTTCATTAAGACATGGTACCCAAACAAAGATGGTCATTGGCAAATGGAAAGTTCGCCACGTGCTTGTTGGATGCTGACACGTGACTCAAGCGTCTCAGGGGAAACCAGGTGATTCTGCCCTGGAGTCTTCAATGGAGAACGCACTTTGAGAAGCTCTGGGTGCCAGAGCTCTGACCTTACGTAACCTTACACCAATCCCGATAGAGTGGTAATGGGAAAAGGGAGGGGAAGAAGGGAGGGGAATCTTCCCCTCCCTTGTTTTTAACTGAACAGTGATTACACCACATAGCTGAGTGCAGGTAGTACCTTTACACTGATTGGTTAAGTGACCAGTGTCTGTAGTTGATAGGACGAAAACCAAACCTGCTGTCATTGTGTCGACTCTACCCTGGAGACCCTATATATAGGACAGAGCACAGTTTCAAGGCTGTAAATCTTTACGGGCGCAGACTGTCACATCTTTCTCCCACGTAGCGGCCGTGGGTTCCTACAGTTCTGCTTAGCAGCCGAACACAGACCACTGAACTACCAGGCCTCCTTATTGGATACAGCGGTGCAGTTCTATGACGACCACATTTCATGCCAGACTTTCACTTTCACTTACTATATTACAGAAAGGACTTTTCCTTCTTTTTCTTTTAAATGCTTTCTGGATATTACTAGAGGACTAACAGCCTGGTTGAATCTGGTTCATTTCCTTTTTTTCTAAAATCATCGCTTCCTAGATAAGATGCATTACTCCACTCAACAGGAGGGATGACCTTGGACTTCCCTTTGTTTCTGTTGTAGAAACGGCTGAAAACATCGGGTTTGCTTGCGAACTTCTGACTGAAGACACGACGATCTGCTATGGGGAAGACATCAAGTACGTCGGGGGCCTGCTGGGTGGGAGCAAGTGCCTCTTCACGGCAGACACCCCGGGAACAGAGCCAGACTGTGCCCCTCCCACGGGCCCTCTCCCCTCTCCAGGAAGAGACCAATAGGAGCTTTGAGGCTAGTGAGAGACGAGTTTTAGTTGAGCAGATTCAAGCCGTAGGAAAACTAGGGACGTTTGTTTTACCCTTTGTCTCCTTTCTTTAGATGCCTTGAGAGACACCTGCTAATTAAGGAAGTGAGCCTGGGGCTTCACTAGCAGTTTCATATGAGTGGTGTTCATCCTGTAATCCCTTTCTTAGGGATGGTACCTTTGGAAAGAAATAGAACCTTAGACCATCAATTTAGGGAGCCCTGGTGGCATAGTGGTTCCATCTGGGCTTTTCAGAACCCCCAGCTGCTCCTTGGGAGAAAGATAAGGTTTTGTACTCCAGAAAGAGTTACAGTGTCTGAAACTCACAGGCGTCGTTCTATAGGGCCCTGTGGCCCTGTCCTATAGGACCCCTGTGGGGCAGAATCAACCTGATAACAGTGAGGGAGGGTGTGAGGGAGACATCATGGCGCCCCCAGGCGTCACAGAGTGGAACTGCCTTGGCTGACATCTTTACCCAAGCAGCTCTCCGGGGCTTTTCTTCTGTGGGACGGTGGCTACCCGCTGCTCACAAACTAGTCTGTCATCCAAGTGCCTCAAAAGAAAAATAAAAGACACACACACACAAATAAAAATATCCCAGCCCTGCCTGGAAGGAAACGTGTTGGAGGGTTTCAGCTTGTACATTACTTACCATCTTCAGTGCAGGGACAGCCCCCCAACAGAGATGTATCCATCCAAAGTGTCAGTAGAGGACTGTGTGTGTGTGTGTGTGTGTGTGTGTGTGTGTGTGTGTGTGTGAGAGAGAGAGAGAGAGAGAGAGACAAAGTTCGGGGCTGCAAGTGAAGAGACCCAAGTCCTCCTTCCAATTCCCCATCACCTGGGAAGGCAAGTCACATTTGTGCTTTGGGGCCTGGTCTTCTGACTGATGACTTGGAGAGAGCGGACGCGACATCTAAGATCCTTTCTGCTCCCCACATTCCCCGACTCATTGCTTTAACGTCAGCTGGGTTGTAGTTGGTCTTCTTTTGAAGGTGTTGATAGAAAACAGAAAGGACTTTCCTGCCCAACATGTAAAGCAGGCTCCCCTGAATGTATTAGAACTCCGCTCAAGATCCTCTTCCTCTGTTGCCTAGGGGTACAATTTCAGCCTCATCTTGCAGGGGCCGTCTTTGGCAAATGTGAAGTGCTAAGGCCATGGTGCTCCCTGGTGGAGGAACCAAGACATAGTAAGATTATACAGTCGACACTTAACATTCACAGTCTTGTGCTTGGGAGTTGGCCTACTTGCTACAATGTATCAGTGAACCCAGAATCAACACTCACTGTGCTTCCGCTTCCGCAGTCATTCGCTCAGGGTAGCGGGAATGTTGAGTCTCGGGACTGAACTGAGGCCAATGAATCAACCCTCTGGTTTAGCGCTCATATCGCTAGCATAGATCCTTTTTGGAGCCCAGTGAGCCCAGCTGTTGGCGATTTCCCTGTTTAAATGGCTCCCTAGCAGAGGGCAGAAGTCTATCCTACTGTTGCAAAGACATCTAAAGTTTCTCCCAAGGGAGAAAAGAGATGCTTTAAATCTTCATGGGGTCCCGTGTTAGAGTGCTGTTGGCCAGGAGTTCAAGGTCAGTGAATCAACCTGCCCCAAACCAAAGCCACTGCTGTCCAGTTAACTCCTAGGAACCCTATAGGACAGAGGATAGCCACCCACAGGAAGTGGCCGGCCACATCTCTCTTCGACAGCAGCTAGTGGATTGAAACCAGCAGCCCTTCCATGCACAGCTGAGTGCTTAACGACTGGTCCACCAGGGCTCTTTCTTGAAGCAGAAACGGTGGGTGGAAATGTGACCAGGGGCGCACAGGAAACCAACCCTGTGTTTCCTTCCAGTACACTGACTGTATTTGCTCATTCGGTGTGTAGAGTGAGTTTATAGAACGGAGCTACCTGGAGGAACAAGAATTGAATGCAGGTCAGACTATCTTGTGGTCAGTGGCCTGTTTGCACTCAGGTACTTTCAACACAAACCTGTTCCCCCAGTTCCCTTCTGCACACAAGGATGGAAAACCAGAGGAACAGAGGTGGAGTCTACGCAAAATTTGCACCCCCAGTGCACGAACCCTTCTTCCCTTCTGGCGGAAACCGGGCTTTGATCATCACTGGTTCTTGGCTGGTACGTATGGTTAGAGTATCCCTGTCTCTGTCTCAGGCAAAAACTATTGGAAGATTGTGTGGCCTAAGAATCACCAGCCAAAATGAATCTCATAGTGTACAAGTGAACGCTTCACTCTCCAAGTTTGAAGCTTCATATCATATGTAAGTGGACCCAGTGGATAACGCTGGTCATCTCGATGACTGGTCAATAGGTCATTTCCATCGCCACCTTTGCACATTTCCGGAATTTTTATACTAACTGTACTGTATAGCTGGAACAAAATAATCGGTGATACGCACCACCCCTGAGAATTATTCTTCCCATAATTAAAGCTTGGGGAAGGGAGTGGGGTCACTTGGGGTACAAATGTAAAAGGTGGCCTTTTTTTCCCCCCTGCTCTGGTTCACAGAATGAAATTCTTCTAGAGAAAAAGACCAAGAGAAGCAAGATTCTGAAACTGAAATTCCCCAGGACGGAGGAGGAGCGGCGGATGCGGACGCAGAGCAAACGGCGGCTGGAGGCGAAGAAGGAGCAGCGGCAGAAGAACTTCGTGGACCTGGCCTGTGAGTGCAGCGCCGTCATCTGCTGCCGGGTCACGCCCAAGCAGAAGGCCATGGTGGTGGACCTGGTGAAGAGGTACAAGAAGGCCATCACGCTGGCCATCGGAGATGGGGCCAACGATGTCAACATGATCAAAAGTGAGTCTTGTCCAGGTGGCCCAGGACACCTGAATTGCTACCGAGAAGAA